GTCCTGGAGAAGGGCGGACCGCCGGGTGCGGTCCTGGGCTGCGGGTGGGCTCGGGGCTTGGAGTGTTGCCGGGGTTGGGGCTGACTCTCCATCCTCCCTGGTGCTGCTTGGTCTCCTGGAATGTGGCTCTTGGTTCCTGTGGGTGGCCCCCTGGTCGGGGTGGCTGCCAGGTTTTGGTGGGTGGTTGGCTGCGGGGGGGCGCACTTGGTCGTTGGCGGTGTGGTGGGGTGGTCATGGGCGTGGCTTCTCTGTGGCGGGGGGCTGGCCGGGTGGCCTGGTGAGGCCTGGGCCGGGCCTTGGCTATCTGCTCCTCTCCACCTCAGAATGAYTGGGTCTACCTCCTGGGTTCAGGTGTGTGCTGCATCCAATAGGGGGTGGGTGCATGTCCTGGACCTGGGGGGTAGAGTGTGTATCGGGGTATGAGTGGAATGTGGCGTCCATGTATGTCTTTGAATGAATGGGGGTGAGGATGAGGGTGGGATGGTGCGATTTTGTATGTTTGGGTATTTGTCAGGCTGCAGTCTGCAACCCCCCCCCCCTCCCACGCGCTGGTTGGTACTCAGCCCCGGAGGGGTGTGCAGCTGGCTGCCGGCGTGCTGGGGGTTCTTGGGGTCTGGGGCTCAGGGCCTCTGGCCTGAGAGGGGTGCACCCTGGGGGCCTGGACCTCTGTGCTCATGCCTGGATCTGCTCTGGTATGGCRGGTGCTGGTGGGGCCCATGAGTTTGTCGCTGCTGGCCCCGGGGGCTGTGTGTGTGGTCGCTGGGGGGACTCACCCAGTTCTCCCCTATGGTCTGATCTGGGGGGTGGGTGGGCGGACATTCCCGTGCGGGTGCCCCTTGGGGCTCTGCGCTCTGGATCCCTCTCGGGCCCTTGGGCTCTGGTCTTCCCTATGTCTGCCTCGTGTCTTGGGGGTTGGGTCTCCGGTCCTCCACAGTCACTATTAAATATTCCATTGGAGAAATCTTGTATATACACGCATGTTCACAACTGCTCACAGACAGGTGTTCTGATCCGGGGGGTTCTGACTGGTCACTGAGTGTGTAAATATGTCTGTGTGTATATATCTGCAGTATGCATGAATGTATAATGYATGTATGTATATACATGTATATTTATATATATGTATGGGTATGTGTATATATATTTATTTATCCATTTACGTATTTTTAGGTGAGCGGGCAGATGTCAGGTGTGTGGTGTGTTTTCTTTCTTGGTGTAAATTTGATATATTTCTAATCTCTACTTCAATCTTTCTAATGATATTTTCTCTTTGCTCTTCCCTCTTTTTCTATTTTTTCTTTACTTAAAAAAGCACTGATGATGAAGAAATTAAGAAACTAAAGAAATTAAGTTCATTTTTCTACTGAAGTGATTAAAAGAAAAAAAACTTCTTTGAGACCTGACCCCGCCTACTACCATTACATCACCAAGGGGAACACTACCTGCTCCGGGGAGAAGTCCTTTCATAAATTTCCTTCCAGCTTGTGTTTCAGTTCAGATTCTATGTGTTGCAAGTGTTATCAGGCATGTCTCTAAATAAATGTACTTCCTGCTCTGAGTGACCACAGCGGCAAGCCATTCAGACAAGTCTGTACATAAAATCTGCATTTTAATCACAAAAATAATCACACAATATTTTATAAATTATATCATTATTTACCTAAGAAAAACAACAGTAAGTGTAGTGCTTTTAAAAATCAGTAACTAAACAGAACCCCAATAAATGTATTCGACCCCTCCTTTTCACATAACTCGTCATGTGAACTATAAGAAAATTTATATGGTCCAATCCCCACAGGAAGTCGGCCATTTTTCATCAAAGCTGCCAATTTGTTTCTTTTCTTGCACATGGACCTGAGCTAACTTCCTCTACAGCTTTGAACATGCAGGCTTCACGTGCTGCATGCTTCTCTCAACACTGACTGGTGACGGGATGGTGTGGGTGTGGCAGAGTGGAGAATGCTGATGCCTCAGTGTTTGCACATGGTTGGCTCAATCACACATACATGATCCAATCTGCGCCAAATTTTATGTGCATCATAAGGGAAACTTGCTCAACACATTTGCTTGTTTGACAAGGTCACTTTAGCCCTCTGTCCATCTGTTCTCCTTATGACATTATTTATGTCAGTATTTATTAATGTATGTTGTGACTTGGTGCTATATAAATAAACTGAATTGAACTGAATTGACTAGAAATAATAAAGGCCTGTGATGATTCCAACAAAACTGCTAACAGCTGGTCAATACTGGACGGCGATGGGGGACATCAGCGGCGTTTAGCATCGAGTTCTATCGTGTTGGAGTAATATTTGACCATTAGGATCCGTACTTTGACTCAAGTCAGGAAAGTGAGTACTTTGTCTACCACTGGTTGTGACCACGTCTCTTTTATATAGAAATGGATGTTTCCAGCACTCACCCTACGCTGCTGTCGTTTATGCCTTGTTCTTCAGAAAGGCTTGAGTCTCTCGGGGACGCAGTAGGTGTAAGCATGCAGGAAGACACACCCACCTCCATCTTACACTCCATGTCTAAAGTGGAAATATTGAGTGTGAGTCCAAGTCATCAGCACCAAACACTAGTGAGCACAAAACCCCCACTGACTTTGAAAATCTCATAAAAAAAACTCACGGTTGAGGCTTGAGGACATGGGGTTTCTTTCGCCGTGACTCTGGAGGTAAAAAACAAACAGAGACAGAGCTGCTATCACTGAGCACATCAGAGTGACACCACCTCAATCTAAAGTGAAGGACGAGGGGAGGAGCCTGCATCCAACAACAAAACTGCAGCAAGACATTAAAGGGGCTATATYATGTAAAATCCACTTTTTTRAGCTTTAWATCATGTTAYAAYGCAATTCCMTCATCAAAAACATACTCAGGKTGTTGTTTTGACTTATTCAWGCATGTTTGKGAAATCCTGTAAYGGTAGCTATTCAGGAGAACAAAAACGRYTGATTGGCCCTAGAACTGCCTTTTAGGTGCAGCTCCTCCTGTGGGCTGTGTCTCTAAGCTGAGCCTCTGCATCACAGAGCATGCCTCCCCYGTGACTCCTGCAGGCTATGGGCAGCAAYAAAGTAAACAGATAAAACTGTAACTGGGCGGTATCTTACCAAGCTGAAATATTGTCTCTCTRCTCGCTCCRKTTCTTCAGAATATGTACTTTCSAGGTCYAACATGGGATCATTCAAATAAGGTTCAATTGTRATTGAGTTGCTATTTTCCAAAMCTGAYATTGTATAATGCTGCTGYCATTTTTTATTATTATTACAACAAAATACAACGCTCCTAAGACTGSTTGTGAATGGCATGAAGMATTGTTGCAATGACATGCATAAATGGGYGTRATGGAAGTGGTAGGAGATTCTTWAAGAGACAGAACAATTTCAAGGYATKTAGAAATGGCTATGATTTRTACAAATTGACAGMATTTTCAYAACAACTGAAGGTGATGTAATTACTGTCGTCCTGGAACCRGAAGATCACCGGTTCARTCCCCCGTTCCAGCTGTCTCAGCTGTTGTGTCCTTGGGCAAGATAGTTYASCCCCAATGCCTCTGATGTGTGTCCCATCAGTGTTTGAATGTGYAACAAATACAGGCTAGGTTGATGTGACTGCAGCTATAAAAGCAGCATCAGAAGAATATTCTTTAAAAGAGCCTGAGSTGTGAATGAAAACTGGAAACAATGATTTCAGTTTTGGTGTGTATTTAAAGGTACAGTGTGTAGGATTTTGTCAATTCTTTTAGCCGAAATTGAGATAATCACTAATGACAATAATCAAAAACATTTCTAATCATTGCAGACAAAGACCACACATCCATCCATCCATTTTCTGTACATGCCTCTTCCTTTTCAGGGTTGTGTGGGTCACTGGTGCCCATATCCAGCAATCACAGTGCGAGGGGCGGGGTACACCCTGGACAGGTCGCAAGTCTATCACAGGGCCACACATAGACCTTGTTTTATTATTTTTACCTTATAAAAAGCTGTTTATATCTCCATGGTCGCGGGTCGCCACTACAGGCAGCCGCCATCTTGCACCGCCATCTTGTCTATGAAGGCTCATGAAGGACAAACTGCGGTGGCGGCGTCAAAAACGGTTTTAGTTGTAATACTATAAATGTAATATTTGTTGTCTGTCATTGTAGCTGGGATAATTTTACTTATTAAAGCTCATAATCTTACCACTTGAAACATCACTAGCCCTGAAGCTGCTGGTAGACATCGCGATTGGAATTATCAAAGGTTTTTGACCCCTGAGAGACACCGTAGAAACTCCTTTGCATTTGGAAGCGGGGGGTGGGGGGAGGACCAGGGAGGATGATTCAACCACTCAACCACGAGATGTCGCTGAAAACAACAAATCCTACACACTGTGCCTTTAAAGTGATTTTAACAACAACAACAACAAATAAATTAACAAACAAAAATACAATAATAAAGAACACAAAATAATTTAGTCACGGAAGACTAATTTCTAAGTCCATCATCGAAGTCCATAGTTTTAGATCGCCATCTACTACTATGCAATCCAACTGAAGATTTTGGTCCAAACACAAAAAACCCGACCTTCTCAATGGAGTGAGGAGTACTTGGCCTCTATGTACGGCCCAGTGGCTATTAATGGCAGAATCCCATTGGAGTTCTGAATTAGCAGCGCCAGAAAATTCCTRTAATCAAGTTTGAAAATGCAGATTTGAAGTAGTGCATCAATTTGTTTGGGAAACGCCCAACAGAGCACACCACAGGCAAAGTGGAGACATACCAGGAAGTGAAATGAGGTCCTGGCTTTTGAAGAATTTTGGAGAGTTTGGGAGCAACACAGGAAGTAGACCCACAAAAATAAAAGTCATCTGACTACATATGGGTGTTATGGCAATATTTATTTAAGAAAGACAGAAATACGTGGTCCAAGAATGAAGGTACTCTGTGAGATGATCAGCTGAGTTTCATTGCAACAACAGGAAACACAGAGAAAAACCTTCCCTGTCTCTGTGCCTCTGCTTCTCTCTGCCACTGTCCCTGGCCCCTGTCCACTGTGTCACTCACTCGAGAGGCCTCATATATATATATATTAACAAACACCATTATGTCATCTTAGCAAGATTTGATACAAGGTCTATGGAAAACACAAAGATAAACACAAGTGATATCTAAGAATGACTGTTGTTAGCAGATCTTGTTCTGACTTTAATCATTCTGTCTGCAGATGAACAGCATGTCATGAAAATCTAGGTCATTTAAGGATGTCATGAATTACTGGCTTAAACATGAAAGCATTAGTTCCATTACATCTCCCCCATCTGATCATTAAATCACCAATTAAATGATCAATAAAACAAAAAAAAACTCTTTAATGTATTTTTTTTAAAAAACATGTCAACATAAACCTAAGTATATGTACTTTTCTGAAATCCCAACCCCAGTAATTCAATTTTTTAGTCCTCCCACAGTAATTACTAACCCCAAAACATAGTTATCACACAAAAGACTTTGGATCATCTTGAACACAAACAGGATTGTCTGTTTTGTTATATGGAAGGGTCAGAGGTGGTGGAGGGGCTCTGCGACTTTTTGTAGAGTCTGGTTTAGTACAAGGGGCTGGAAGATGAGAGTTAGCTGGGTTCAGGCGTGGCGTTTGTTTGATCTTAATCTTGCCAGGTTCTTACATGTTGTTAGTAAAATCCAAGAGAGGGCATTCCAGCTGCTGTCCTGTTGGGGTCTCAGAGTCCAAGAGATCCTCTATTTGTGATACTGATGAATCCAGTTGTTCTTCTGGTTCTGCAGCTTGAAGTAACTCCTCTCTCTCTGGTTCTGATTCTGAAGTAGTCTTCTTATCAGTAACTGGCACGCTGTGCTCCACTGCTATCTCAGTTTTCTCCAGCTGTCCTACAGATGTCAGCTGTTGTGGTTTTTCCTGTTGTTTGTTTCCAGCCGGAACTTGGTTCAGGAAATACTTCATGTTTGAAGCCAGAAGCTGTGCTCCAGTTTGATTCA